CGATAAAAATCCTAACCTGATCTGTGAATTTACAAACAATAAAACAAATTTACAACATGTGTTAGCGACGGCCAAAAATTCGCATTTTTCCGATTTGAAAGCCGCAAGGATTAAAAGGCTTCCTCCCTTTTATTAATTATATACGAAGTCAACTAAACTTAACCTACTCACCACGTGGTTACACCCACAAGACACACACCAAAAGAGACGCTTTAACCTCCCTCCACCAAGCCGCCATCTTCTACCAAGCAAAGCCAACTTCTCGCTACCAAGCCTCCCTCTTGTAACAACCCTCTAACTAGCCACTACCAAGCAGAACTACCAACTACCCAAAAAACGCTAGCGTGCACATGGTTGCCTATGTTTAACGATTTTTTTTATTGAAATTTTTTCAGCGTGAAATTTTAATTCAAATTTGGTCACCACACTACCTTTTTTATTTTTTTACACAAAATAGTTTTTTGCCTTAACTACTTGTCGGCTTCTGTCTTTAAAGCTGTGTGTAAAGTGATGCATCACTGAAAAGTGTCTATGCTCTCTCCAGACTTTATAGACACAAAATATAAGTAATTGCAAAAACGCAAGATGCACAACACTAAGAATTATTTCTTGATGTTTGTCATAGAACTACTGTGAAATATACATTGAAGATATTACTTTGTCAGTTTTCTACAACAAAGATGATGTCCCCCAATTATTTTTTACTAAAAGCCATTTATATTTTATAAAATACATATTTCTATAAAAGTTCTGGTTTATAAATTCTCCTTGATTTTTTATCCTCGAAAAAGCACAGATGTGTGGTAAACTCCATGAACGTGCAGTAAAATGTCGAATTATTAATATGAAGGTCGCTGGCTTTGAAACTCATGGATTGCAATTTTTATATTCATCAAATCAATAAGGATTCGCCTTGTTTCTCGAAAACTTGTGATTATAGTCATAATAATGCCACCGGTTATTTCCTACAGGTTTTTTACACCCAATTACAGGAAATTGATTAATACAACAGGAAATATAAACTTAAATTACTTAACTATCAGAAATCAAAACTAAACTACCAAAAGCTTCTAATATACAATGTTTTATGTGATTGAAAAAATTCGTATTTTGATTTAAATATGTAACAATTCTATTAAACATTTCGCACATGTAATTAACACAGGATTTTACTAACAATTTAGTCGTATTTTCTCGAGGGGTAAACCGCAGAGGAAATCAATTGTACACGCTAGAGGAAATCAAAGGAAATCACAGGAAATCAAAAAGGAAATCACAGGAAATCACAGAAAATCAAAGGAAATCAAAAGGAAATCAAGAGGAAATCAACGAGAAATCAAGAGGAAATCCAAAATCATCACAGCAAATCCAACTAAACTAGATATTTTCTAGAACTAATAAACGTAAGATGTACGACATAAGTCATAGCATTCATCATAAGAAAGAAAATATCAATTTAATCTTAAAAGCGGAGATTAAATAACCTTTTAAGGGCATTATGATAGAAAATTCCAGTATAATATCATTAACTGACAGCATGATATTCCAGCTTGACAAATATTAAAGTTGTAGTTAATGAAGTTCCGATGAGAAATGATACCTACAAATCAAATTTATAATTTCACCCCAAATTAGTTTTTAAAAAATGAGTTTGTGATATGAGGTCCCAAATTCATTAAGTTCAGGTCTTGCAAAAATCTTACTGATGATATGTTCTTGCCTTGGAAGTTTAGTTCTCAAACTTGTGAGACTATGTTTAGAAGCCTTAGATCAATGACCTCAACTTTTAGCACAATTTTTCGTTTTAGTATAAGAGATATGTTGCATCGAAGTGACAGACTGCAAACTATAAACAACATTAAAAACGATTCGGATAAAAAATTCGTTTTTCCTAGAGAAATCAGGAAAAAAATGTCAATCATGAAGAGAGATTTTGTGAAAAATGATGACTTAGGAAACATTTCAGATAAAGATATACAAAGCATCGTATAATCACCTTTACGGGATTGTCTGCCTGACACTGAAGATTTAGAAATGAAAGCGATAAATTTCAGCTATGTATTTTTGCCTCCGTGTAAAGACAATGAATGCAATGACGAAGTTGAAGATGAAATGTTTAGTGAAGAACAGTGCGATCACATTGAAAATTACAACAATTCTCAAATAGCCATGAAACGTAACTGTTTTCAAAGTTTGGAAACCGATCCAGTTGACCAAGATGAAGATTTACTGAATGATCTTTGCACAATTTCGTACGAATCTAAGAAATTTGACAGAGACATACACCTTAGAAGTTTTGATAGTGACGATATTTTTGTTGAGAAAGGTGATCTAGTCAGAATACGCTTAGATAATACAACAAAAGTTATAAAAAAGTCTTCACTTTGCTAGCTGTTAGACAATGAAAAGAATCGCGTCAGTGTGGATCGTCTCAAAAGATTTATTCAAAATAAGAAATGTAATAGTAGTAGAGTTAACTCAGAAACAGATACCTGCCTTCAACATAAAGATGCATCTCAAATTCAAAAACCAGTCCAAATTGGAAAACAAAAAAGAAGCTATAATATATCAAGTGACTCATCTGATTTAGACAACCCAAGTAGTATCGAATATGATGACAGCACGGACACCGAAAGTTTGAATTCTTCCAATTATTCTGATAATTTGAATCCTCGTTTGAATCTCAAGGCTGAAAATAGTAAGACTGATCGTTCTAAACCAGACTTAAATATAGACGATTATATTATATTACGATTAACAACTCAAAAACAAAACAAAAAATGTTACATTGGTAAAGTGTTATCACTTAACACTATTTTTTGTGATTTTTTGAAAAGGAATCCAAAAATTCCGGATGCTTTTATGTTTCCGGACATTAAAGATCAGGAGGAGATCCAAGAAAATGAATTTATAATGAAACTACCTCCACCTCAGGTACTCAGAAGAGGCAGTTTAGTTTTTGAAAAAAAATTATTGAAAAAATATTTGATTTAATTCTAGTTTTTTTTTTTAAGTGATATGATTAAAATTTGTGATAATGTAACCTCAATCTGCGTCGAGATTTGTACAAGTATATATCGTAGAGAATACTAAAGTAAGAAACTGTGCAAAATTCTAGGTGCGCATGAACACTTTTAAAGGGGAAAATTACCTCTGAAAATATATCAAGCGGGGTTATCCACTCCTTTATTGTGCAAAAAAAAATTCTTACGTGTTAAATTTTGCATTTCAAAAGTTTTTTTCTAATATGCTTCATTTGAAAGTTGTGAACAAAAAATTAAAAGTGTTATAATCTGTATTGATGGGTAGCTAGAATTTAGCACAGTTTTTTACTTCAACATCATCTACAATATATACACAAATGTCGACCCAGGTTATGGGGTAAGTATTTTTTAAGAAATTGTTTTATTTTGTGATATTTTGTTATGATCCAACAGAAATGCTTCACTTTTATGTTTAGAGTTACCGTTTTTTTTAACATTTAATAAAATAAGTGAAACTACTTGTTTTTTCTGCTTATGCTACCATAATAAATGAATAAACCCAATTTTTAAAAAGTAAAGACTTAAGTTATTATTATAAGTTTGATTTAGTAGGTCAAACTTTAACATGATCTTGTATGCACAACACAGAGATGAACCTAATAGAATGATTTTGGACTATTTGGTATTCATTAATTACCTCTGTGAACGTATGAGCCAGTCCTTGTTGCCTTATGAGTATGAGTCACTGATAAGTAAAAACTGCTGACGTAACTAAAAATATCCTTGGCCTTATGTACTTTTAATTTCGTAAAGTCAAAAGCAAAATTTCATAATATAATTTATTAAAAAATTAATAATAAGATATAATATAATTTATTAAATCTTTGAGTGATTTAAACGAACTAATTTGTACACACCAGACATTTTAATTTCAAAATTAAAATAGACCATAAGGTTTTCTGACTGAATGTGCAAAAAATCTAGAATATTGCATATGTCCACTTTTAGAACAAACATTTGACCCAAGAAAGTGTAAAATTCGAACGTATACTTACTCTATTGATTTAGACATCTAAAACCTCGATTTCAGAGTAGCGTTCTTTTTGTAAGTAAAATCAGATTTTTTTTCTTAAACATTTCAGTTTGTTGCTTAGCAGCACAATACATTTTATTTATTTATTTTTTTCGTCTAAAGGGAAAGCACTTCAGCTTACCTAGTCACCGTACGTTAGTAAACATTTGGCAAAAAAAGGTTTAAATTCAACATCATTATCGGCAAAACAAAAAAGTCAAGTTAAAAAAAAGTTAACAATCGCCCTGTAGTACATTATGTAAACAAATTTTGAGGAAATCAAAAGGAATTAGAGGAAATCAAGAGGAAATCACAGGAAATCATAGGAAATCAAGAGGAAATCAAAGGAAATCACAGGAAATCAAAGGAAATCAGAGGAAATCAAATGAAATCGGGGGAAATCAAAAGGAAATCATTGTCAAAAGGAAATCAATTGTACACTTGATGGTCGGCGGTTTACCCCTCGTATTTCCTTGACAATAAAGTACAAATGGTTTACGTTAATTAAAACAATGTATGCGAAAATTTAATTGCTCTAGTAAAAAATTACACTAGACATTACTACCAGTACAACATTGGACCCGGTTTGACAACTATTAAATGCCACGGCGAATGGAAGGCTATCTCGAAGATTCCGTGCAGGGTAAGAACAGGATTGCCTCTCAGATTTTATCGTCAAATTCCGTTCAAACATCTAACAATCGTCGCGGAAATTCCGTCGAGGAAAAGGAAAGGATTACGTCTGAAATTTCGCCTTCAGATATTTCACTCTTGCCCAGCGTGTCAAGCTTCAAATTATTTTGTTTTTTCTTTTAGACGTCAGGATAAATATTTGTTGTGAAAGTGAACAAGTGCGATAAAAATAGTCTTCTTAAAAATCGGTTATAATTATAAATTATCAATCTCATTCTGTCGCACTTGACACAAGTGTTAAACAAATTGCAGTGACCTCGCCTCTGATAGGAAATACATGAGATAACAAGCCAGAGTCAAACAATTCGAAATTATAATTTTTATTAAACACTTCATTACTAACATGTTTCTGGTCCAGCCAACATTAGAACAACAAACATTATTTCGAAATGCCCTAGATGAAAATTCGCACAATATTCAAAGCGAAATCGAAATTCTGAAAAAGTGGTTAAAGGAACAACCTCATCTTCCCGACACCTGGGGTACAGTTGCATTATACACAAACACAAATTACCTTACTATTTGCAGATGAACATTGTTTACTACATTTTCTCAAGGGATGTAAATTCTCAGTGGAAACATCCAAGAAAAAATTGGAAAATTACTTCATTTTTAGAGCTACGTTGCCGGAATTTTTTTCCAACAGGGATGTCAGAAACCCAGAAATAAAAGAAGTCCTCAAAGTTATGTAAGTCATCTATGTATTTTTTCCGTCTTGTGACGATATTTTTTAATCAAAACGTCGCTACAGTCTAAGGAATTTAACTCCTTGTAGGCAATCAGCAGTCTTGCCAGAGTTAACTCCTGATGGCAAACGAATATCAATAGCAAGGGCTGTAAAATATGATTTCGAAACTCCAAACATAGCTGACATGATAAAACTTACTTTCATGGTAGGTGACCTTAGATTAAAATTAGAGGAAACTGGGGTTTTCGATGTCTACATTGCTGATTTTAATTTTCCTTTGGCGAAGCATTTTTATAAGATAAATCCGTTGGTTTTGAAAAAGATGTTCATGTGTGTTCAAGAAGCATATCCTGTATTAATCAAGGAAGTTCACCTAGTCAACGCTCCTCCTTTTATTGAATTTGTTATGACAATAGTAAAACCATTTTTGTCACCTGCTCTCAGTGAAGTTATTCATGTTCATACTTCCATTGAAACGTTATACGATTTTATTCCAAAGAATATACTGCCAGAGGAATATGGTGGAAATGCTGGAAAGATGTCAGATTTACAGGACAAGTGGCTTAGAACTCTTGAAGAACATAGTTCTTGGTTTGAAAAAGAGGACAACATTAAGGCTGATTTGTCAATAAAGACATTGAAAAACGGTTCACGTGGGGATTGTAGGGAGCTAGAAGGCAGCTTTAGGAAATTATGTGTAGATTAAATGAAACATTTTTATCTTATTTGTATCAGTTTCTTAACATCAACACTATGTTTAAAAATATTTTGTTCGGAATCATTTAATTGTTGTAGTTCATGGTCATGAAACGATGTACACTAAAAACATCAAAACAGGTTTGTTCATTTAAAGTATTTACTTTTTGTAAATTGATATTTGTGTGTATATGGAAATAACTTTTTTACTTTTGTATAGAAAATAAGAGCCCTCGGTTTTGTTTCACTATAATGTTAACTCAAATTTTATAACGGAAAGGTAATTAAAATTTTATATTTTAGGTCATTTCCCTCTAGTGTTCGAATTTCTTGTTTCTTCTAGTGAAACACCAACGTTGGACATCTTCTATAAAAATTAATGACATACAATTCAATTCGTCACTAATCTAAAATTTTTCGAGTTTTAGTAGTTTTAAAATTATTAGCAAATGTCATTCGCCACAATTTTCTTAATTAGATAACCCTAATTCCAAATTAAGCAGTGCGTGCTGTTATGTATGCAAATAAAAAAAAATAATTAATTAAAAAAAGCTAGTTGATTTTTCTCCATCAAAGTGTTAGCACGTGTATTCAACAATGTCCTTTGAATTATTAAATTCTTACTTAAAGGTAGGCAAGTATCTCTCAATTACGCCCACTTCCATTGAAACCGACAAAATCTCAAAATTTCGCCAAGTTCATCAAGTGCTTATGATTCTATTTATCATTACTTGTGTCATGATATCAGTATATCTTCGAAATTTCTATTTGGAATACAATCTTGCAAAAGTAACAGTGTGTCTTCTTACCGACATTGTATTGTGCGTTTTTTGCTGTCGAGTAATTGTTGAAGCATCTAAAGTATTAGAGTGGGCCGAATTAATCAATGGTTTAAAAAATACATCTTATTTATTAGAAGAGAACAACAAGGGCAAAGAAAAACGAATACAGTGGAAGTTTGTTCTACCACAAGTTTTTTTCTGTATTAACGCAATTTATATAACCCATTTTTGGTTTTCCATTGTGGGATTAATTTATTGATTTTGATTTATTGATTTTGATTTATCCAACGGGCATAGCCCACATAGGAAATACATCAGAAAGAAAATACAAAACAAAAAAAATCCTAATACAATAAATGAAATTAAATTACTACTAAAATAACAAATGAATTCCACCTAATTACACTAAATTATGACTAACAAATAACTTAAACCATATTACAAATTACCAGACAGTGCTAATTTCGCTTTAGTACCAAAAACACTTCTTGAAACGGCAAAAATATCGACATAATACTGAATGCTATTATATAAACGACACATTCTATAAACTGGGGAATTGTTGTGTTGATTTGTTCGAGCTAGATCCAGTACAAAAGTCCTTGAGTTTCTAGCTTCGAGGCGAGGAACATTAAAATGTATTTCTCTAAGAAAAGAACTGTCACAAATTTCATTATGAAGAATCTTAAATAGAAATAGTACAGAGGATAAATCACGTCTACTACTAAGAGGACTAAGTTGGAATTCGTTTAACAATTCGTGATGTGAAAATCCTTGAACAGGATATACACCGTGTTTACGATAAAATACTAATTTGCAAAATTTTCTCTGTACTTTTTCTAAAAGAGTTATGTGCGAAATATAATGTGGGCTCCAGACTATGGAGCAATATTCAAGTGTTGATCTGACATAAGCATAATATAACTTTAAAATACAGTCCATATTTGTAAAATCTTTTGTATTTCTTATTATGAACCCCAACATTCGCATTGCTTTATTACAAATATACTCTATATGATGTACAAACGACAGTGACGGATCCATTACCACCCCTAAATCTTTATAAACATTACACCTCTCTAGTTCCTGATTATGTATCTTATAGTTATATAATATATTATGTATTTTTCGGCTATATGTCATAACTTTGCATTTACTACCATTCACTTCCAATCTATTATCATTACACCACTCATAAAAGATGTTCCCGATATTTTGCAATTCTTCACAGTCAGTCACATTCCGAATAGGTTTTAAAAATTTTATATCATCAGCATACGTATAAACTTTACAGTGCTTCTTTAATAATGCTATTAACCCGTTTATGAAGATAGTAAACAACAATGGTCCTAAATTCGAACCTTGGCACACCCCACTACTGCACTCATACATATAAGATTTACAATACATGTAATAGACATACTGTTTCTGACCCACAAGGATTGATTGAAATAATTGGATCAACTTGTCACACAAACCTACCTCAATGAGTTTATTTATCAATAACGCATGGTTGACTTTGTCAAACGCCTTTGTCATATCCGTATAAACAACATCCACTTGTAACTGTTGATCCAATAAGTTTGACATATCTTGCGAAAAATTACATAAATTAGTGGTTGTGGATCTGCCTGGCATAAAACCATGTTGTTGGCTTACTATCATCTGTTTAACGTGGCTATACATATACTTGACAAGAATACTCTGAAAAACCTTTGCGAAATTTGAAATGATTGCAACTGGTCTATACTTATCCACATCTTCTTTAGAGCCAGATTTGAACAACGGAATAACCTTTGCTACTTTCCAAACTTCAGGATACACAGCGCATGAAATTATAGAATTATATAAATGACTTAAAGGTAACAACAGAACACTTATACAATCACGCACTATGAATGCTGGGATGCTGTCATCACCACTCGTTAAATTTGACTTAAGCTTCTTCGCTGCTTGTAAAATATCACCATCCGTTACACAAAATGTATGAAGAACACTTACAGAACAACCTTGATTCTCAAATCCGTCGTCTTCTCCGATGTCTGCTATTGTATTTTCCCGGGAATTACCACAACCAAATACACCATTTTCTACGAAGCTTGCTGGCTCGAATACACTACTAAAACAATCCGCAAATGAATTGACAATATCTCTAGGTGTAGATATCGGTTTCCCTTTATAAATCATTCTCCCTGGTATACGTGTTCTACCTTTCTTAGTTGCAACGTATGACCAAAATCTGGCAGGATCAGATTTCATGTTAGCTTCAGCGGACCTTTGAAAATTACGAAAATCCTTCTTGATTTCTATCTTTATTTGCTCCTCCAGTTTTCGCGCTGCTTCTTTACATGATAATATGTGAGATATCTTATACGATTTCCATATACGGTCCTTCTTCTTAATCATTTTGATAGTATTTGACGAATACCAGAGGGGAAAATGAGTTGTTACCACCTTCGTCTTCGGGACATATATCTCGAACATCTCATATATTTTGTCATAAAAATATGCGCAGATATCATTCACATCATGTATCTCAAGTATGTCAGACCACTCCATTTTCATCAAAGCACCATATAACCCCGGAAAATCAGCTTTTCTAAAATTATATCGAACAATGTCCATCTGGGTTTCGAAATTTTTACGTTGCTTTGAATTTATAGTCAACTTAACCAACAAAGATGGATGATGAAGATCTTCATCTACTAACGGGTTTACCAGCCGATTGATATTGCATGTTATTTTCTCCGTTGACATTACAAGATCTAGGATTCTATTATTATTATTTGTGACATAATTGTGCTGTTTCAACTGATTGAAATTCATAAAATTGTTGAGTATCTGGTACCTTGAGGAGGAATTCTTGGCTTTCGTAATACACGCATAAAACTCTGGAACATTGAAGTCACCTACTATCAGTGTTATATCTTGTACTTGGTATTCTTCCAGATATTCCAAAACACTCTCGTACATCTGAATACTACTCGCAGGAGGAATATAAATATTTATGACAGTTAGGGGTGTAGCGCAGCAAAAAACGTTAATAACCAAAATATCAATATCTTCAAACGGGGAACTCAAACATACAGACTCCGCAGTATATTTATTATTGACTGCAATCAACACTCCCCTACCCTTTCTTCCTTTTAAAGAGCGATATACATTATAATTAACCCCAAAAAGTTCGTACGATCCTACTGAATCGTCCAACCAGGTTTCAGTTAGCAAAATTAAATCATATGTAGCAGAAATAGCATTTTCATAAAACTGAGCCACTTTGGTGTTTAAGCCTCGGACGTTCTGATACATCATGTAAAGTTTAAATTTATTATCATCCCGTTGGATGCAAGTTATTGGTTCTTTTTCTTCAATTTTAGGCATCCCAATTTGATCTATAATCGGTTTACGAATGTCAACATTGTTATCTACTTTGCTATCTTTTTTACTGCACTTTACTAAAAATATGGATTTACTTTCAGATTCAAGTTTTCTTGAGCATTTAGTTTACTCTCCCCTACTATATTTGGTTTATTAAAGTTAAGATTAAAACGCCTAACCTCTATCCCTTTTGGCCAAAATTCTGGCTCCATTAGAACATCTTTACAGGCGAAGTCAATACCAACACAATACGACGCGTTATTCCCTTTTGACGGCAATCTTTTAACTGTCACCTGATTAGCTGTGGGACATCCTTTGCGTAAAAAAATCTCAAGATCTTCGTCTTTGGTCTCTTTACTTAATCGACCTACGTACAACCATGCCTTACGCTCTTGTCCTTTAATTTGACAGGAGTTGTCCTCATTTTGTGTTGCAGTTCAAATTATTCCCTTTTGTCTAAAGGTTTTGCGTTTATTCTTTACTAAGATGAAATCGTTTCCTTCTTCTTTTGTGGTGGATTCATTATTACGCGGCTTGTCCGTATCCTTCATAGAAAAAATGGCTGTTTCCTTTAGCGGGCAACTTTGCTGCATTAGCTGATCACTTGGAGGTGGTAAATCAATCGACGGTGTATTTATTTTTCTTTCCGTCGTCTTTATCGCTGGGTTTTTTGTAATCGCTTGATTGTGGTGGATTAAAACCTTAGAAACATGTGGTTCTTCAGATGTCGTTTCCCTGTGCCAGGAGAATTTTCCGTATGACTTCTCTGATTTTTCGCTATGGGTCAGGATTCTAACTAACTCTATATTGCTGGTTTTAAGATCACGTACTTCTTGCCTCAGAAACTTTAATTCATCAAGATAAGGGGTAACTAATCTTGCAGTAATTTTCTCCAGTAGGGAACTAAATTCTTCACTATGCAAATAATCATTAAAATCTTTTGAGTGAGACACTTCTTCTTGGACAAAATCCATTTCATTTAAATTTTCCAAGTGGTCATTACATACCATAACATACTCAGATATCGCAGTGTATAACTTTTTTCTATCTTGTAAAAGTTGGGCACAACTTCTGTGGTAACACACTCCACATTTAACACACTGTATGTATGCCACAGTGACTTTACTTTTGCATTTTTTACATTGCTTTTCCGACATATTGCAGCAGCAACGTAACGCACGTCCGTACAGCAGTACGTCCACACTCAGTTAGACAGTTAATACAGTTAGAACAATACGGATTCGAATTGTTGGAAAATTATATTCAGTTCTTTTATACCTTTTACGTACACACCATTTTGGAAATGATCCGTCAGAGATATGAAGCTTTGAAGCGCCAGGTCGATGACTACAAAAATGTAGATCAGATGGGCCATTCTGCTTGTATTTTGATGGACACTGTGAACAGATTTAACAGAAGTTTTGGATGGTCTTTACTTTTACTTATCGCTTTTACCACTCTTCAGTTTCTTAATTATATGGAATATAATCTTCAAAGCCAAGAATATGGGAAAGAAAATGTTTATCAGGTTGTAATATCGCAAATTTTATCTATACTTGTATCTTTCGTAAGTACTATTTTCGAATATGTTTTGTTCTAATAGTGTTTTTGTAGGTACCTACAAGTATGTTACTTTTGAAATGTGATCGTATAACTGAAGAATCCGAAGATATCGTTTTTTTGGTATCGAAATCCGGTACGAGAATTTTAGATTTAAAAATAAGGGAAAAAGCGGATAGATTTGGCGATATTTTAGCAAGAAACCTTCCTCAGTTTAGTGCGGCCAGATTTTTTGTCCTCGGCCGATCTACAATCTTGAGTATCTTTGGAACAGTTGCTACGTTTTTTATAGTTTTAGTTACATTTGCACCTAATGTAAGATCAGATACTGAAACTGTAGCAAACAAATCTCGGCTCCACATGCTATAAATTAGTTTTCTAATAATAATTAAATAATTACTCGTAGCAAGTAAGAAGTAAATATCTACAGGCAATGAAGTAAATAATTGTTTTATTATTCATTTTATCACCCAGGCGTTAATTGTCGTTAATTTGAAGGGGTCGAAACACTTTAACACATATAATTGACTTTTTTACATTTTGTGTCTATAACTGTTTCATTCAACGGTTTAAGACGTAGTAGAATGTATTAGAGCATGATATTGTTATATGTTAAGTATAAAATTATTTATTTTAAAAGCCCATGGATGCTCCAAATTAGCCCTCATGTAGCCAAAATATTTAGTATTAAAAAAATTAGCTCAAGAAAGTGTAAAAAAAAATTCAATGTGTTAATTATGTTTATTTTTACGTTTTCAATAGCACTAACAAGTATTTAAAACAACAGTAAACATTTTTTTGTATTATTTATCCATTATAATAATCCCATTTATTTATCAAAAATTTCTAAACGCAATAAAATCTAATTGACTAGATATAACGGAAAAGTTGTGTTAGGGTCACTTAATTAATAAATTATCTTAGTGCTTACTATGAGATTCTTAAAAAAATTTTCGTCGGCGTCAAGCTATTCGACGGCGTTTGACGGCCAAATGTTGGTGTGTCATCTCTTATTCGCCGGCCTTCGGCCTGTTCGCTCCAAACAATAGGATGGGTCTATCTATATTGACGTGGTTTACAAGAAAAAAAGGAGGGAGAGCCACTATCCACTATCACGTTTGTGGATGAAGCGAAGTGAGGGTTAAGACGGAACATTAGCCCCGCACTTGTCCATAAATCGCACAGCATTCATTGATCTGAATAATAATTAACCAACACACCGTGTCATCAGAATGAAACCTGGTTTCACTAGCGTGTTTTAGGAAATGCTGTATCGACCTGGAATACCGGTCGGTCCGGTTTTAATTTCCATGTATTTTTAAGTACGTATGTAAATCAATAAAAAAATTAACTAAAAACGCTGCTAACCTTCACTCCAAAAAACTGAAGCACACGCACTACACATCTCCTTTCAAATGTTAGATCTCTATTTACAAATGGGGAAATTTGTCGCGATGGCGGAATTAGTGCGTGTGCTTTAGTTTGTTCGAGTGTTAGCAGTGTGAGCAGTTAACAATGTCCTTTCAATTGTTAGATACCTATTTAAAAGTCGGGAACATTGTGGCAATAACTCCGCCTTCCGTTGAAAGCAACAAAAACTCAAAATTCCGTCAAATTCATCAAGTGATTGTGATACTACTTACGATTACTTGTGTCACGGTATCAGTGTATTTCAGAAATTTCTATTTACAGTACAATTTTGCAAAAATTACACTATGTCTTCTTACCGATATTGTATTGTGTACTTATTCTTGTCGAATAGTTATTGAAGCGTCCAAAGTGTTACAGTGGAGTGAATTAATCAGTGGTTTAAAAAACACATCCTGTTTGTTAGAAGAGGACGACAATGATAAAAGAAAATGGATACAATGGAAATTTGTGCTACCTCAGCTTACTTTCTTTATTGCCGTAATTTATATACTGCGGACCTGGTTTTCCGTTTTGGGGTTGTTGGAGTTCGGATACGTGTTCGAGCTATTGCAAATTTATCTTCAGTTTTGTCACAGCTTGTATTTGCACACACTTCTAGAAATGATTCGCCAGAGATATGAAGCTTTGAAGCGCTACTTCGAAAAGGGTTTCTCCAGAAACGACAAAAATTTACATCAGATGAGTTGCTTTGCCTGCACGTTGAAGGACACTGTGAACAGATTTAATGAGATATTCGGATGGTCTTTACTTTTCCTCATCGCTTTCACTACTCTTCAATTTCTTAATTCTTTAGAATATAGTCTTGAATATAACGAATTTGGAAAAGAAAACGCGTCTCATATTGTAATATCACAAGTAATAACTGTTCTTCTATCTTTCGTAGGTTATGATGTTTGCGTATTTTCTCTTTCTAATTAGTTTGTTGCAGTTACCTACAAGCATACTACTTTTGAAATTTGAAAATATAATGGCAGAATTCGATAATATTGTGTTTTTGGTAACGAAATCTACTACAACAATTTTAGATGTAAAAGGAAGGGAAGAAATGGAAAGATTTGGTGACATTCTAACAAAAAACCTTCCTCAGTTTAGCGCAGCCAGATTTTTTGTCCTTGGCCGATCTACAATCCTGAGTATATTTGGAACGGTTGCTACGTTTTTTATAATTTTAGTTACATTTGTACCTAATGCAAGATTAGATCATGCACCTGCAGCAAATCTATCTCTGCCTCACAATTAAAAAAAAACTTTGTGTTAAAGTTGTTATAACCATAAAACAATTAAAATACTACTTTATTCTAAATAAATAATTATATAATATCTTCTTAAAAAGAAAAAATTGGTCGAAAGTTATTTCTTCCCTCGCTCCAGAAGGGTAAATAACGCCTCCTCAATCCCTGCGTCCCGAGGGCCCACAAGTTATTTTCTGTATTAACACAATTTATATAAGCTATTTTTGGTTTTCCATTATGGGAGTATTACATTTAGAACAATACGGATTCGAAATTTTGGAAAATTATATTCAGTTCTTTTACACCTTTTACGTCAGAGCTGTTCAGTACTTCAAGTAAAAGTACTTTACTTGAAGTACTTTTATATTTAGGTACTTGGTACTATTGGAGTATTTCTAAAATGTACTTGAGTTTAGTACTTGATTTTGCCAAGTACTTTACTTCAAGTAGTTCACTCAGTATTTTAAATACTCTTGAAGTACTTGAAGTATGAAAGTGGAAACTTCAAATACTTTAGTCTCTATTTTACGAAGTTTTCACATCTCAAAATAGGATCTGTTAAATGCTTGAATTTATTAATTCAATTATTTTATTAGATGTATTTTTATAGGAAAATCGTGTTTGTTTCCTGTGAGGTTATATTTTGATCTGTGATTGTGGATATCTTATCCACAATACGACGTATATTTCATAGGTTCTTGCATAATGCAGATAGGTAGGCAAGAAAATTAATGTCATAAATATGTCATTTCAGATTGGATGAAGACAACAGAAGGGTGAAACGTACCGCGAGAGCCGGGGGTAAATCCGCGGTCGCCGTGCTGCCGCGGCGAAGGAAGAGGATTCTGGCCGGAAGGCTTCGGCAGGGAGGAATTGCTGTGGCTGTTTTGGGTTTTTGTGATTTAGAGAAGTGAGCAGTTCGACCCTCCGACCACCGTAAGTACCTTTGTGGATCGGCTGCCTGTTTTGTACCGGTTTTGGAATCGCCGCCCCCGAGCGAACAACCGTGTCACCGTCACCGGTTTTTTTTTGTCACCGTCAGAAGTCGGAACCGTCGTGCACGCGTCGTTACCGTCACCGCGCTCCCCTCCCGGGTCGCCGTGCCGTCTTCGCGCTATTTCCAGGTCTCAAGGTCGCCGCTCCCAGAGCCAGGAGGAGCCCGTCCTGAAGGCAGTCGCCGCCCTGGTGGGACAACCGTGCCGGACATTTAATTCGTTTCGTTTATTTTTGTTTGTAAAACCGATGTGTAGTTATTTAAGTTGATTAGCAGTAAGTTTTATTATTTTAGACCGTGTAGCTGGTGGCCGGAAATAGAACCCTATTTATTGCAAAATATCCTTGCCGTGTTATTTTATGTATTCTCGTGTTTTCGCGGGCGTTCACCACCTAAATTCCGTATCTCCGGCTTTAGAGCACCCCGGCGCTTATTTAGGAGACAAAAAAGTTATGTTAATCTGCAGCATTTCAAATTATTAGGTAGGTTACTTGAAGTATTTTCAGCATTTCAAGTATATTCAAGTACTTGAAGTATTTTCAGTATTTGAAGTATATGCAAGTACTTGAATAATGTACTTGCATTATACTTCAAGTACATGAGGAAAGTACTTGAGACTTGAAGTACTTTCAGTAAAAGTAAGTACTTGGTACTTTACTTGAACACTCTTTCAAAAAGTACTTTGTACTTGGTACTTCAAGTACTTTTGTTGAGTACTTTGAACAGCTCTGTTTTACGTACACACCATTTTGGAAATGATCCCTCAGAAGTATGGAGCTTTGAAGCGCCAAGTCGATGACTATAAAAATTTAGATCAAATTGGCCATTCTGCTTGCATTTTGAAGGACACTGTGAACAGATTTAACAGAAGTTTTGGATGGTCTTTACTTTTACTTATCGCTTATACCACTCTTCAGTTTCTTAATTACATGGAATGTAATCTTCAAAGCCAAGAATATGGTAGGGAAAATGTGTATCAGGTGGTTCCCTAATAATTTTTTTTGGTAGGTACATACCTACATGTATGTTACTTTTGAAATTTGAACGTATAATTGAAGAATTCGAAGATATTGTTTTTGTTTTTGTATCGAAATCCAGTACAAAAATTTTAGATTTTAAAATAAGGGAAGAAATGGATAGACTTCATAACATTCTAGCATGGAACCTTCCTCAGTTTAGTGCGGCCAGATTTTTTGTCCTTCGCCGATCTACAATCTTGAGTACCTTTGGAACAGTTGCTACGTTTTTTATAGTTTTAGTTACATTTGCACCTAATGTAAGATCAAATACAGAAACTGTAGCAAACAAATCTCTGCTCCACATGCAATAAATTAGTTTTATAATAATTAAATTATTACTCGTAGCAAGTAAGTAAGAAGTAAATATCTACAAGCAATGAAGTTAAGAATTGTAAATTGCCAAATTTCACTGCGTCTCAGTTTTAGTTATAAGGTGGGTGCACCTAAAAAGGCCCACTTAATTTGAAGGTGTCGAGACAGTTACACATAACTGAGTTTTTCACATTTTGTTAATATAACTATTTTATTCAAAAGTTTAACTCGTACATAGTAAAATGTAAGTATTACAGCATGATATTATTATATAAGTAGGAAATTATTTTTTTTTTAACCTTTGGCAACGTGCATAACATGGTCAATTCTACTAATATGGCCCATGGATGCTCCAAATCATGTAACTAAGATATTTAGTATTAAAAGGTTACACACTTTTGGTAAGTGAAAAGTAAAAGAAACATTCACTTTATGAATTTTATAATTTTAATAAAATAAATGAATAAACAAGATCTGACGTACTTAAGAACAAGATGGACATATAAACGACACATGTTTGTCCTGGTTACTCAAACCGACACATTCCACATGTACATATCTAGAACACATTAAGCAAATTCGCATGTCTATCATCTATCCTATTCGCATATATGGCAATACCACCTTTCAGTCATTTTCTTCTTCTTGGGTTTTACTATTTTTGATTTCGCTTTATTCTTTTTTTCAAACAACGACTTCGTGACTTGTTGGGCTTTATAATTCAGAGTTTTTCTTCTTGGAGTGACTTTTTTAACTTCAGTTTCAGGTGTTGGTAAGATCTCCTTAAGACTAGTATTTCTGCAAGAAGATGTCTCCTGATCTAAAACATCAAATTATTGTGGAATTTCGTTAAATTCATTCTTACAAGATGATCTTCCGTGGTCATTATCATTGGAACACTCTTCTCCTTCAGATGTTGTAGTATTCCGCAGTGAATAAGTGTCACTATCTTTAGAAGAAGATTCTGAGATCTGACGTTTACGTCGGCTATTGACAAAACCACTTGGTTCAGGTTGTGGGTCTATTGTCCTGCTAGGGACATTCCTTTCCTGTTGTTCTCCATTCCTTTCATTGTATGCAGTTATTGTTGTTGGGATTAATATCAACTTAATCTGCGATAATGACTTTTAAAAAGATTAAACCAAAGGCTGCTTTATTAATTCGATGATGGGGTTTATTCGTCCAATAAATGAGGACTTCAACATCCCAATAAGTTTCAAAAGCAGCGAAAACCGCCTTATCAATTGGCTGGAGTTCATGCGTAGTCTTACTCGGTAGGCCAAATAAAATAACGTCATGTCTTTCTGCAGCCTCAACAATACTGTAATCGAGATGAGAAGAGGCCCCATCGACTATTAATAAAACTTTTCCTGGTGGCTTAAATTTGGCAAAATGATCCAACCATTTGATGAACGTCGTTATTGTGATGCTTGCTTTTGCTGTCATTTCAAGGAGTAATCCAGGAGGCAGATTCATAAACCATTTAACAAGAACGATGCCGCGTATGTGATAGTCATGGGGTGTAATTTTATTTTTGCGGGTGAATGACATCACTTTACATTTGTCAGAATTGAGATAAAAGTTGTTTTTAGAGCACCAGTTATCCACAGCATCTAAGTTTCTTTGTAATTTCAACGAGTCAGCAGTCGAATTAATTATACTATAGATCTTAAGATCATCTGCAAACAAGAGATAAGAAACATCCAGAACATCTGAGACATCATCAATAAAGATATTAAAGAGCAGGGGATCCAATATGGATCCCTGAGGGACACCGGTCTCCTGTTTGAAACTTTTGGATTTGAAACCCCTGACATAGACAAATGAGTACCTATCATGTAAATATGACCTAAGTAACTTGCATATGCTGTCTGAAAAACCGAAGTGTTCCAGTTTGCTCAACAAGAGGCTATAGTCGATACGATCAAACGCTTTTGAAAAGTCGGTATAGATAACGTCAACCTGCTGACAGGTAGGTATCTATTGCCTCACAGAGGGTTTGAGTCATTGAAACTAAATTAGTTTCAGTCGATCGTCCTTTCATGAACCCATGCTGATATTGACTCAATGCTTGCCTTGTATGGAGGTAGAAGAGTTCCAAAGATCTTAGCAAAGTTGGAAATATGAGCAACTGGACGATAATTTTTCAAATCCGTTTTATTACCTTCTTTGTATATAGGGCATGAGTTTTCAGGATTAACTTATATATAATGCATAGCGGCTGGCAGAAGACATTACATGCAATCCCTAATAATAAATGCAGGTATCTGATCAGGTCCACATGTCATAGTAGGTTTTAACTCTTTAATAGCGATTAAAACTTCCGATTCGGACAAAAACTTAATGTAAAGGGTATTCCTGATCAGATTTGGGGAGGAATAGATTTGCTGCCCATTGTTGGGAGTGAAGGATTTTGAAAAATAGTCAGTTTTTGATTTTACAAAAGACCAAAATTTCTTGGGGTCTGATTTTAGATTACTATTGGTGATATTTACATAGAATTTATAAGCATGACATATTTCTGATTTAGTGTGGGCCCGTAAAGATTTAAATAATTCATAATCATCTCTTGATTCAGTCTTAATATAACAATTCCAAGCATTATCTTTCCGCTTTAAATTCTTGATTATACTTCCATTGAACCACGGAGGGTATTGATATTCGGTAGCTTTCTTCTTAGGCACGTACATTTCAAAGACACGATTCAAGGCTTTATAC